TCCGCAACAACCATGTGATAAGTACATTCTTTTGTATAATCACTTTTGTAGGGTTGTACTCTTTCAGAGTCCGTTAAATTTAATTGCGAATCTAGATTCTTGATGATCTCTTTGCCATAAATGCGATGCAAATCTTTCAGCCACTTAAAGTGTCCGTTTTCAAGCCTTTTAGTACACTCCTCCGCGAGCATCTATAGCTCCAGAGGTACTAAACGCTGATACGCTGTCCAAACAGACAGCCATCGAGATTTCGTATTATGCAGCAACATCATTGAGCATTTCAGCAATGCGATCGAGGGCCACCGGTGTAACGGACTCTACCTTTTCTTCATGATCCGAATAAACAAGCGTCTCAGTCGTTATAATTTAAAAGAGAAAAAAGCGATCTTCGTAAAGTTTTCTGGCTTGTTCGCTACTCGAATGTGGTCGCCACCGTATAGAATGCGATAATCACTATCTTTCCAGAGCCGTTATGCAAGCAGAAAAGGCGTATGACAACGATCGACATAGCAGGCAGTTTTTTTTACAAACGAAGTGCTTGCAGAAACATCCGGTTAGTAGTCTTGCACTAAACTGGTACCTTGTAAAAAAGTCCCAAATTAAACTGCACATTATTTAACTCGCAGAACTTTGTATATAGTGTTGTCAATCTGCAACGGTGTGTATATAATGCCGCTAAAATGGCCTTAGTATAGTGTTCAGATATATTCTATTCGTTTTATTTCTTTTACTCGATAAAAACTTCAACTGATCCAAAACCTTGCACCGAACTGGTCTTTTGCCTTAGCAGGATTTTTGATTAGCTCTGCAGTGAACTTTTATTCAGCCCTTTTCTAGCGTGCTCGGCGTTGGTGACGCAATGTCCGGTTTGCTTCTTTGCAATTGTAGCTGACCTAACTCTAAGATAACATTTATTTATACTATAGGACGTATGCTTAGAAGCATGTCTCAACATTAGATACAAAGCTCAAACCTGACAAACATCATTGAACTCAACATCACTCATTGCGATCGTTACCATAACAAAGAACACTGAATCAGCAAGTACCGTCAATAATGGTAAATGAAAATGTATGATTAAAAATGCTAAAAATGTAACAGTACAACATTGTGTGAATTCAAAAGTTTACTTCCATCCGTTTATGCATTTAGTATGCTAACGGAAACAAAGGCTCTCACCAATCATGGTTCTATTTTTCGAAACCGTGAGTATCGCACTCAGTACTTATATCTCAATGCTGGCGTGTCAGCCACTAGTCGATTTTTGACAGCTGAATTTTCCTCATTAGTAAGGTTGGCCTTCGTTTAGCATCTCCTTCGGGCCACTTCATCCAGTGCCACATCTCTATTTTCTGTAGATTTGAAGTTTTTGCGTCCCCACCGCACCACCTTGAGATGTCTCTATTGTGAAGTATACTTCATATTTTCGGCAAACACTTCAAATCTGGAGTGACTTTGATCCTCTTCAAAAACCTACACATTTGAAGTCTCCATCAAATCTACATACAATCCTCGCACGCACGTCAATTATAAACTCTGGATTTCTGCATCCTTTTCGTTCGATATCTGGCTGTATAATCACCAAACTGCGTTGACTACGGGTGGCAGGTGTGGTAAAATGGAAGCGGCGTCTTCAGTTTGAAAGTAATGTACCCCGGGTGTGAAATTATAGGGGTCGTATTCCGATCGCATAGTACACTTCAAACGACACTCCATTTAAGAGATAGTTTAAATGGTGTGGATAGGATGATCTTAGTAGGGTACGTTGTCGTAATTTCATGTCCATGTTATGTTAAACCTAAGTAAAGCGCATTTTTACATACAAGCAAAGGAGATATATTCGTTCATCCTAAGCTCTGTTATTTATTGAACAATATTATCGTTTGTTGTTCATTGGACTAAATGCCTTTCCAATATCAACTCTGCTAGTCGTTTTCTAGTAAAACGCTTTATGTCGTAACCTTTGGTGCAAATGTTTTTAAAGGAATAAAAGAGGCAGGGCTTATCCATCTTACAAATTTTGCGATTCGGTACAACAAACGCGTCAAACGTCTGCACCGACAATTACTTAATTATAAGCTAAAATTTATCTGTCATACACTATACTATAAAAGGTCATTGATGCGGAATTTATATTGCTGTATTTGGTTAATTCTTCGTCTTTGTCAGGTCACCCTGTAAACTATATTATATGAAACACATAGTGTAGCTTACAACTCCTCGTACACTTTTTACCATCGACTGCTGCTGCAAAAAGACTACAAACGGAAGTAATCGTGATCGCGCTGACCTGAAGCGTTTTAGAGAAGGCACTATTCCTATCTAAACTGGTAAGGCGATTCTGCAGAACTAAGTTTCTGCTGGATACTTTAGACAAGTAGGCAACAACGAAAATGACGACCACATGACGACAACCATCACAATAAAGACTGAGTGTAAATTTGTGAAGGGAGATGCTTGTTCTCGAATTCGACCACCCCACCGCCAACAGGTTGCAAACCGTATAGCTAAATTTACTCGCACACCCCATGTCGAACAGAAATAGTATGGCTCGTTTGAAGAAAATTGGATCGCCCTGAAGATGTTAACAGCATCACAAGGATTCGCGGTCAAGAGCTAGAGCAATTACGCGCTCATAAAGACCGGAAATTTCGACTATGACTTCCTGTTTGCCAGGCAGGTCAACTAGAAGGAGCATTTAAAAATTTAATGCATCGGTGCGTAAGATAACGTCCCAGATCACAGAAGTCAATTCAAGCCCGAATTCGGCGTGAGTCAGAAGACAGTTAGTACAATGTCGGGCTCGATTAAGCGTTACACAATTTCGTAATTGCAGCTAATCCACGATTAAATAATTTGGCTTGCAAGTCGATAGAATCTGACGTCAAACGGTTTCGGGGGTGCACTTAAGAGAGGCTTAAATGCAAACCATGTCCTTGGCGACCCAAATTAGTTTTACTAAATGTGGGCTTGTCATCAAGGACTTCTACAGCTTGATTGCTAAGCCCGAAAGATACTTACTCGAATCAGGCGCATCCATGAATCGTATCAAGGTGTACGACAAAATTTTCTTTTTTTTTTTTATTTATCCAAGCAAGACCTCGAAGATATTAAGGCAGTCGCGGATAAGTGCTGCAGTTCAGATAGACTGTACTAAACAATTTTAGTGATAGCTAACTGATAATTTGAATTGCTGATAAGTCCAATCTCAACTAAACGTACATCCTGGACTTTTTTTCGCGAATTTCACGCTTAAAATTGTTACAGGTCTGTGCTTGATGCTCACTAAAACTTTGGTATCATTTAGGGGCCAAACATTACATAACTGATCCGGCTAAAGGATCGAACAAGCTATCGGCGACACATTAAAAAACACACACGCAGGAAACATGCTCTGTGTACAGCACATTGTCATAAATGTTACGGCGCATCAACATAAACGTATTTGCATCTCGGATGATCCGAGTGAGAGGTCGATGGTCCGGGACAACTTACACACATCTTTTTCTCCTTCTCTTGATTGGCGCCCAGAAGAAGTTCTCGATTATGAAGAGAGTTGTATAAAGCTTCAAATTCCGGAAAGAGGGGCCAACTACATTCAGTAGCAGTGGCTGGACACGTACATAGAGTGATCTTGCGCACTAGGGCTATTACACGTTTTGTAACTGTTGGATAGGCACACCCCACGGGTTGAGAGCGCCCTTGTTGCTTATGATGCGTGGGTAAGGCTTAATAAGTTTAACTTAGGTTTTTCCCAAATGAAATTAGCAGGACAATGCCTAGTCAGATGATGTAAGATTGGTGCTTGAAAGGGAACTTTGATCACGAAAAGCAGTCGTACATACAGTGCTAAGTGAAGTGAGATGACTGTTATCGAGCATCGCGTCAATTTATCGTATCAACAGATTGAGCTTGCCAACATTGAGTCGAAGAGAGAAATACAATACAGCAAAGATACAAACTGTCCGTGTGTTACTAGAAATGTGATAATCAGTATCATCTCCCTTGCTCACACAAAATGATTGAATGTTACTCTTCGCAGCAAAAAATTGGTGCAAAACCCATACGTTATCATTATAGATTTTTGAAGAAAACTACTGTATTGCTCATCGCCCTTCCAAGCGCCAACATGACAGTGCCCTGGTGTGAGAATCAGAATATTAACAGCTGCGGCGAATAAAGAAGACAGACTTGGACACCAAATACGAATGCTTTAGTGTTTAGTGTGCCAATAGTATATGCGCCGTAATATTACTACCTGCCCTAAGCCACAAAGGATAGGCGTATGCACCGCCAATCTACAGCAGTTACTCCTCTGGTATATTGTAATTCGCCATGAAAAAACGTCAGACGAACGTAAGATGCCAACACAGCTTTTGTACAGACTGCGCCCATCTATCCATCAGAAATGATACATGCAGCAGCTGTAACGGGCATCCTGAAGCTTGTACTGGTGACAGTACAAGCTACTTATTCTGATGACAGAATAAGGCGGTGCCTCGGAACTTCACGTACACTCGTACGTGCAGAGGAAGACGGTAAGGAGAAGCGAGTACTTAGTTTAAGTAAAAAGTAGAACTGCATTTATCATAGTCAATGTCTGTTAATGAATCACTATTTATCCTCATCTAACTATGTTTGAATACAAATGTGCATATCAACTATCTGCTCACCACTCATTGCGTGCGTCTGTCGTGGCGCGTCTTCGTTGGTTGATATAATGGCCTATATCAACCAATTAGGAACTACTCGTAAGTGCAGCAGAATATTTGTCCTTATGACAATATTCTGAGAATATAAGTCTTATAGTTACATTCTATTAACAATTTCGTATAAATTGTTATGTAACGGTTCACCCCGTTACATCACCCCCCCTAACCATCAGTCACTTTAGTGACTGATTGACTAAATGGATACTCGTCCCAAATCATTTGGGACAGGGTTTACACTTGTTGGTCCGAGTCCACATTCCAACATTTCATCGCATGGTTAACAAGCCCATGCGATGCGCAAGCAAGGCCGCCGAGAGCGCGTCCGCACGTCTCTGTGCGGAAGCCGAAGCAGAAACCACAGCAACTGATGTCTCATCGGTTGCTGAAGCGACTCAGCCTGTGTCACTTGGTGATACAGGCGATGGTCATGAAGACACTCATGTCTTCACAGAGTACGAGCTCGGTGTCTCGTACTCTCCTGATACGGAAGACGGATCCGTTTTAACGGCGATCGAATCCAAGCCGCCTGCCAAGCGTGGCATGGATGATGCTATGCGTCGTAGCATCTTTGGTTCATCTGATTCATCAGATGAACCATCGCCGAAGCGAAGGCGCTCAAGGTCGCGAGACTCGGGCGCTAACAGTGGTGTCGATTCTCCTATTGACGCCACTTCGCAACGAGGTGCCAGTACTTCTATCAAAACGTCGCAGATAGAGCGGGAGCGCAGCGTGTTGCGTCTCGCTCCCGAAAAGAAAGCATGGCTGCCTCCAAAGTCAGTCATGGATCGCTTGTCGGCGACGACGAGTGATCGTTATCGAACATGGTTGTTCGATTCGTTAAGGATCCGTCACCTTGACCCCAGCGCGAAAAACTATCGCGCTGAGAGTGATTTCTTCACCGATGCTTTATTTTAACATCGATGGCACAGTGGGAATCACAAGCGTGATGGTCCCTCACTACTTCAAGCGTGGAACGCCTACATCCATAACCTTGACAAGGTAGTGTCGTGACGTTTGGAACGACAAACTTATCAAAGCTCGTGATGAGTTTGAGAAGAGAACCCCGATAGGTGCACGCTACAAGCTGCATCGTCTGTCTAAGGAGAAGGGATTGCCCTGCCTCTCTTGGGGAGACTCGTGCCCTTGTTGTGTAAACAACTCTGCACGAGCACCTAAGGAGGCTTACCTCCTTACTAGCCCGTGGTGGCGCGTACGTATCTCTACTGAGATGTACGAAGGGATTGACAACCTGAAATCCCTTTACGACCGTGCCAGGAAGACTTTCTCCAGCGGTCCTTCTGCGGCACAGGATGTGCCGCATATTACTGATCAACCAAACCCAGTACTTCAACTATCAGTTGGGATCGGGGCTCCCAAGTATCCCAGGACGGGGGATAGCCGCGCCACCGGACGAGATAACTCGTCCGACGTCCGTTCACGTCGCGGTGGTTCAACAGCTGCTCAGCCAGATAGCGTTGGCCACCGCGAGAGTCCTCTAATGGAGGTGGGGGATGAGGGAAAACGCTCTCCAAACTATCGTGGGGGAGCGTGTGTCCCCGAGAGCTTCTTTGATCGCGTAACGCAAGGGTTACGCGGCGATCTCGAACATGAGCGGGATAGGCGTCTCCAACTGGCGGACACTGTCTCGAGGCATCGAGCTGAGTTTGCCTTTGCTCAGCTTGAGAGCGAGAGAGCTCTGACGTCTCTGCGTGACGAGCTAAGGGTAGCTCGTGGGGGTGTTAAGAGGTCTCGGGCTGAGGTAACTGCTCTTCAGAACCTTGTCGATGCCCATTATCGGGAGCACAAGGCTCTCTGCGAGATGCTTGAGCGGAGGGCGTTCTTCATCGGAAGAAGCAGCGTACTGATGGTACGGATTAAGCCGACCAACGTAAAACGTGGGACGCGTTCGCATCTTACGTGGCAACTCGATCGTGTATGCATTGCCTAGGCGGTGCAATACACGAAATGGGCCTATGTACTTGGGTAGAAGTTTACTACTACCCCAGTTAGTCACTACATGCTTTGGTAGGTTAAACGTAGACAGTAGGACTAAGTCACCTTTATTAAATAAAAAAGTGTTTGCCCTTCCATTCTTGTCAGCGTTTTACTTTTGCTCATCCACAGTTTCGGTGATGGAGTCTTGCACAAAACGGACTACTGTTTCACGAGCCAGCATGAACTCATCTACTGACTTGTTAGCTTCAGTGCGCTGTGAGTGCACTGCAGCAACATCAATCTTTTCTTCAGTGAGGGCTTCCGCACTCTCACTGGCATCATCTTCTTCGATATCGATGTTATCGATATCGGCATCAAACGCAATGACCTCTTCGTCAGAGCGTGATGAGCATAAACCAAATAGGTTCTTGCTCGCGCGAGTCCCTCCCCCCCTTAAACCAGAGTTACACTCTAGTATGGTGGGTACACGCGGATGGCGTAAGCCATTCACGTAAAACGGTGTATGTGTCGTGGACGCATGCACCGAGTTGTTAATGGCAAACTCTACCATGGGCAGGAACTCACCCCAACTCTTAAAGGAGTGTACGTATCCTCGAAGTATCTCTTCGAGGACACGATTGGCACGTTCCTTCTGACCATCTGACTCTGGATGATCAGATGTTGACATCTTCAAGCGCGTTCCGAGTGATTTGAACACGGAACGCCAGAAATCAGCAGTAAAGCGTGGATCTCTGTCTGATACGAGTTCACGGGGCAACCCATGAAGTCGGAAGATGGTGTCAATAAAGACACAAGCACAGCCACTTGCCGTGATTGACTCTGGTACAGCCACAAGGTGTACCATTTTGCTGAATCGGTCAACAAATGCGAGAATACCCGTATTCCCGCGTGCGTCTTTGGGTAACCCGAGGACAAAATCCATTGAGATGGATTCCCAGCACTCAGCCAGAACCGGAAGAGGCTGTAAAGGTGCACGCAGTGAAGGACTTGACTTCACTCGATGACAGACTTCGCATGCGCGAACATACTTTCGCACAAACTGATACTGGCGGGGCCAGTAAAAGTCTCGAATCACCGTGAGATATGTTTTCTCCCGGCCACGATGTCCTCCTATAGGAGCATCGTGATACTCGAACATGATCCGCAAACGCAGATCAGTATCATCTGGAATGACAACACGTGGTGTGTCACCAGAAACGGCTGTATAAAACAGTAAATCGTTGTGAGTGGTGTATCGATCTGATGCAGATCGATACGCAGACGATAATCGTTACAACGAATCTCGAGATGGCTGTGAGAGATGTGTCAACAACTTCAAAATCTCACCATCATGGGCATACGCCCGCCTCACATCATCATGCAACGTTGAAGATGGTACTGAGGACGTCATAACCGCAACAGTGACTGTCTCACTGCTGGGTTTCACGACTGGTTCAAAGTCGGGACGACGTGAGAGTGCATCAGCGACGACATTAAGTCGTCCTGGTTTGTACTCGACCGTAAAGTTGTATTCTGCAAAGAATGACAACCACCGCGCCATTCGTTGTGAAAGGTGCGGGCTGTTTACTGCCGTGCGTAACGACGCATGGTCAGTGTAAACAATGAAGGGTCTATCTCCTAAGAGATAGACTCTGAACTTCGCGAGTGCATACTTCATGGCAAGGAGTTCCTTGTCATGCACTGGATAGCTCCGCTCAGCTGGTTGCAGCTGACGCGACTGATAGCAGACGACGCGTTTAACGCCTTCAAGATCGTACTGCATTAATGCACAGCCGATTGCGAAATCGCTGGCATCACAGACCACATGAAATGGCCTGTCCTGATCGGCAATTGCTAGGACTGGGGATTGTATCAAGCTCTGCTTGATGCCATCAAAGGAGCGCTGACATTCAGCGTTCCATAACCACCTCTCGTTCATTTTCAACAAACGAGAGAGGTGTACAGTCATCTCGGCGTAATTGCGTGAATACTTGTGCCAATACGCCGCTAGCCCAAGGGATTTTTGAAGACCTTTGACATCAACCGGCACAGGCCAGTCGGTGGTCGCCTTGATTTTTTTCGGGATCAGGACGTACATAGTTCTTACCAACGATGCACCGAAGAAGTGGTATTACGCTTGCTGCAAATATACACTTCTTGAGGTTTGCATACAATTGATGCTTTCGCATGATTGTAAGAACCTGTCGGACGTGGTATCTGTGAACCTCAACGCGACTTTCCATCCATAGCTCGACTATGGATGAATACGTCATCAAAATAACTCGGCGCGAATTCTCGTACTGGTCTCAACAGATGTGATACACATCTGTTGAACGTGGCAGGGGCATTACTAAGCACTTGTGGCATTACTAGCCATTCCCAGAGCATGCCGCTAGGCGTGCTAACTGAGGTATAGGGTATATCCCGTTCTCGCATAAGGATTTGATAGAAGCCGTCCATCAAATCCATGGACGAAAAGATGGCACTCCTTGACATACCATCAATGATTACGTCCTTCCTTGGTATCGGCGTCTGAGCCGGTACCGTTGCAGCATTCAACTTGTTAGATGCATGCACTATCCGCCACCCTCCTGTTGCTTTTCGCACACAGAAGGTCGGAGAGATATGTGGGGATGTTGATTCCCTCACATGGCCCGCAGCTAAACGATCGGCAAAAAACTTGTCGATCGCAAGTACTTGTTCACGAGGCAGTGGCCACTGCTTCATGACACAGTACTTCGAGCCTGGTTTAAGCTCGACCTCGTGTCGAGTACCTTTATCCTTCGGTAATTCGCACGGAACAGTTTCAGGGAATACATCCTTGAAATTCAACCAAATCTTCATAGAGAGGATTTGTCTTGAGCGATTCCCACGATTGGGAGTCATATCGCTCAACTCGTGTCTTTCCATCTAGGACACTCTCGTCCATAGATGAACTTCTGAGACTTCTCTCGTTCTCAGTGAACACTGTTGCTGACCTTATGTCGGCTACACACTCGTCGTCAGCGACGAGTACGCAGATCTGCTTGACTTTGCCACTACACAGATCACGCAAGAACCTTTTATGTTCGAGCGTTGGCAACTGAGTGATCTCCGAAGTCAACTTCGGAGGCGCAATCAGATCAAGTGTATAAGCGCCTACACTTGATCAGTTATTGACTATGATATTCAATGTCTCTGTCATTTCCTGGGGACTTATTCCCTCAGGCTTCGAAGGACTTAATCCTTCGGCTTCCCGGGGACTTATTCCCTCGGGTTTCGGGGAACTTATTCCCGCCGTATTTGTAATATCGGGCCTTATTCCCTTAACTTCCTCTAGCTGGGGTTGCGCAACCACAGCGAGATCCTCTACGAAAGACTCTCCAGTCGATCTAGGATTATCGTTTTGCTTAACATGAGCGATCAATTGTTTCTCTTCTAGATGTTTCCCGCTAGGGATACATCTTTGTCCCGGTCCACTCGACTTTTCGAGTGGTGGACCTTCGGCGCAGCCTGTGTTTCCTCACAGACGCCGGAACTTTACTCCGAAGTGTAACCGTTTGTTACACTAAGGTTTTGTGCAGTCGTACTAACGACCGTACCACAAGAGAGGCCATCGCACTCACTCGTAGTACATCCAAACGCTTATGGACGCTCCAAAACGTTCATCAGATGGCCATCTGATGAACAAGCGGCAGACATCGTTACTGTTCGATGTTGCTAGTTCACCCGTGGTTCGTACCTTCTGAGCCACGGTATCCCAAGGATGACATCAAATTTGTCATCCAAATCCAATACGATAAAGTCATCGTCATATTGGGTATCTTCTATCGTATAGTGGATCTTCACTATACGCTTCATTACGGTTACGGATGCGCCTGTCGCAAGACGTACCTTCATCCTCGTAGGAGGTGTGTAACATTCACTGAACTTAAAATGACCATCTTCTAGCGATTGGGGTCGCACAAAATTGTTGGACGCCCCACAATAGACTAGAGCTCGAAGGGACAACTTATTTGTCACTTCGAGTTTCAATGTAATAAGTGAGATCTCATTACCTAGAGTAGCAACGCACAACGTTTGTGTGTTGGGAGCAACCTTCATCAAGAGGCCTACAAATTCTCTTGACGTTGCTGTACCAGTAGGGTGCTCCGCACCTACTGATCCTTTCTGTTTTTTGACGGTCCATCCCGTTGTTGCGTCTTTGCACCAACAGCGGACCCGCGTCCCTGCCCCTTTCTCATGGGTGGACGGTCACTACGCCCAGTGTTGCGAGACACTGGACGAGGGGAACTACACTCGTAAGCGTAGTGTCCTGTCTTTTGACATCTGTTGCATCTCTGCAACTTCTTGTAGTCTGTAGAGCGAGCCTTCTCGCTCTCTACATAACAGAGTTCCATCGGCTCTGAGCCTCCGTTATCATATCGTCTCGGTTGACGATATGATGTCGAGCTGGCGCGAGCCTGTCTCAGTCTGAAGTCTTCCTGTTCCGCAATGGAAATGGCTTGTTCTAGTGAATCTAGTTCAAGTCGGAACAGGTGAGTCTTGACGGGACGATCCGCAAGACCCTGCATGAACACCGAAACCAGCGTGTGTTCATCAACCGGGTTGGAACTTATACAACTCGTGAGATGTCGTATATGTTGCGCGTAAGCGTGCACATCACGCTTACCCTGCTTGAGCTTCAAGAGTTCGGTTCGAGCTCTGAACTCAGCTCTAGGCGGTTCAAACGCTTGTCTGAGCCGCAACTTGAAGAATTCTCACGACCCAAACGCATATGGGTCGTGCAACTTGATTACCAAAGCACAAGGCTTGGCACGTCCTGCCAGATTTGACTGGGCAAATGCAACTTGCATATCCCCGTCGTCGATGCGACGCGCCCTTATGGCGTCATCCAATTCGACAAACCATCTCAGGAGGGAGTCTTCTTCGACTCCCCTTTACTTGGAGATGTCAATCTTCAAAGTCCAGTGGTCGACGCGAGTGCATCGACACACCACCAGCAGCCTGCTGCTGTCTCAACAGTATAAACTG